GCCGCCGTTCCTGGGTCTCGTCCCATCATGGCCACCGTTCCTGAGTCTCGTCCCGTCATGGCTGCTGTTCCTGCATCTGCTCACGTCAAGTCTGCCAAGTCAAAGTCTGCTCATGTCATTTCAGAGTCTCGTCACGTCTCAGCTGATCGTCCAGAGTCACATCACAGCTGATCGTCCAGAATCTCGTCACATCACAGCTGATCGTCCAGAGTCTCGTCACGTCTCAGCTGATCATCCAGAGTCTCGTCACGTCCCGTCTGTTGTACACAGATCTTCGAAGTCAGTTCTAAGGTATCTCAGACTGACATCCAGTGTGGAGAATCCACCGCTGGTGTCAGTACACGCATCTAGTATCCCTAAACCAACGTTCTCAAGGGACACCGTTCATACACTTTAAAGCCTGCCGCCCACTACTCACCCCAGTTCTCCAGGCATAGAGCCGTCAGTCTTTGAAATAGAAAATGTACTCTCTGTCCTGCCAGTTATGGCTACGGCCATTCTCTGTGTATGGGCCACACACACCACTGTTGTTTCCCCAGAGGTGGCAGCATTCACTGCATTCACTGGTGGCGCCCACTCTACTCTCCGAACCTGATCCCAAGTCTAGCCCACAGAAGACTCCTGTTCCCGAGTCTAGCCCAGAGAGGGCTTCTGTTCTCGAGTTTAGCCCAGAGAGAGATCCTGATCCCGAGTTTGGCCCAGAGAGGGTATCTGTTCTAGACCAGAGTCCAGTGCCGGTTCCAGCCCTGGTTAAGTTTGTCATTCTTTGCGAAGTCTTGTTAGTTGTTATACTGCATTTCTGAGCATTCTCCCTGGATTTGTCTCTTGGTTTTTTTGCTCTCTTGCCTGTTTTTTGGGATTTGTCTGAGTTTCCTGCCTTGTCTATTGTTTGGATTGCCTGCCTGTGTTTTGACCTGTTGCCTGTATTTCGGATCACGTTTCTGGTTTGTCCCAATAAAGCTGCATTTGGACCTCCAACCTGTCAAGTCTCAGAGCAGTACGTAACATCACTACTATTCTCTAGACAGTGAAGTATTCTGTGGCTTTGACACACAAACCTGACAAATACAAAGTTTGATTCTGACAAAAGATACTATGTTTTTGACTAAAATATTTGATTTTGACCTGGCAGTTTGAGATTTGCATAAGTTGCTGTGTAGTTTTTTGATTGTTTATAGTTGTGAGAAAATGGTGAATTGTTTCATGAATTGTGTTAGCAATCAAGAAAAGCTGTAATGAAATGCTCATGCTCAATGATATGAATATTGACTTATAAAGCCACTTGTTGCAATGTCTATTTAACGATTTAATCATCCACTACAATAATATGTCTTAAATTATCTATTAATATTTAGACTCAGTTGACATCCCTAAACTGATTATTATTAATCATTATAAACATGACACTAAAGCAAGTTCAATATGAGCATTAGCCACATGACCCCAACACAACAGATCCAATTCATTCCACTTTAAAATTTGAGTCTGCTTTAAAGCAAGTGACCAGTAAGACTGAAGAAACTTACCAGCAAAAAGCGTCTGAAGTTCATTTTTTTCTGATTTCAACAGGTCCAATATGAGCATTAGCCACATGACCCCAACACAACAGATCCAATTAATTCCACTTTAAAATTTGAGTCTGCTTTAAAGCAAGTGACCAGTAAGACTGAAGAAACTTACCAGCAAAAAGTTCAAGTTCAAGTTCAAGTAAAAAGCGTCTGAAGTTCATTTTTTTCTGATTTCAACAGGTCTCTCTCTTTTGTGAGGTTCATGTTGTTGGTTAGTAGCTGGTTTCTCTCTTTTGTGAGGTTCATGTTGTTGGTTAGTAGCTGGTTTCTCTCTTTTGTGAGGTTCATGTTGTTGGTTAGTAGCTGGTTTCTCTCTTTTGTGAGGTTCATGTTGTTGGTTAGTAGCTGGTTTCTCTCTTTTGTGAGGTTCATGTTGTTGGTTAGTAGTTGTTCTCTCCCTTCTGTGAGGTTCATATTGTTGGTTAGTAGCTGGTCTCTTTCCTCTGTGAGGTTGGTGATCTTAGTTAATATCTGTTGTCTCTCTTGAGTGAAGGTGACACACAGCACTATGACTGCGGTCAGCAGAAGAACACACAGCAGCACCAAACACACCACAGCTGCTCTGGAGCTCCTGATCGTCACACCATCACTTCCTGAAGATGATAGATATGATGTTAGTCTCTTCACTTCCTCATTTCATATGGCTCACATCAACTGAAAACATGCCAACTGTAGACTAATTTTACTCTTTGTCAGATGTTTATTAGTGTAGTTTGTGTTCTTGTGTTTTAAGAGCAAATGCAGAGGAATAGTTCACTAAAAATGGGTTTCTGATTATTTAGGCCATCCAAGATGCACTGTATATGACTTTATTTCTTCAGCTGAAGAGAATTTAAGCTTTTGGAAGAAAACATTCCAGGATTTTTCTCCATCTAATGCAAGTGAACGGGGCTCAATGCACACCATTTCTAATGGTCCAAAATCCATATATAGGCAGCTTTAAAAGAATCCACATGACAGTTGACAAATAAGGGTCTTCTCTAGTGAAACAATCAGTCATTTTCATTATATTTACAAGTAGAGCATGCAAAGACTACATGTCAGAACTTACTGCCCTGATTGCACACGTACATCATCTATTTGACGTCTACATTTTAAGACGTTTCCTATCAGATGTCAAATAGACGTTTATTAGATGTCTTTAAGATGTTTATAATTTAAAATGTATGTCAAACTGACATACGTCTGTCAGATGTTTGTACACAGCAGATGCTTTCCAGATCAAGATTTAACAGACATCTTGCAGACGTACGTGTGCTATATGGGTGGATGACCTGGAGGTGAGTAAATAATCAGGAAATTTTCAATTTCGGATGAACTATTCCTTTAATCACAGTTACCTGTGTGTTGAGGTGTTTGGGTTTTTGTTGTGTTGAAGTCCTCTGTGTCTTTCTTATGTTTCATGTCTCTTACAGCCTCTGCACTGATGTAGATATCAACAGTCCTTTCTATTCGGTCTTCCGAGTCCATTATCGAACCTTTATTCATACTATCATTCACAATTCCAGACATTTCTTTTTTGGTGCAGTTGAAATGGTTACAGTCGTTTATCTATGAAACATAAATGTAAAGTGGTAAAAAAAAAAACTGTAACACATACATTGAATTATATACTGAAATATATTGTTGATTAATCTCTGTACCTGTGAGTTCAGATGACTGGATTCTCGTTGTGTTAAATCTGTGATCTCTTTTCCGACGTCACCTCTTACAACACCCACATGTTCTTAGACATTATGTTTTTTTTCATCTTCTTTGCATATTTTCATTTACACTATCGGACAGCTTCAGTGTCCGCAAACTAACCCTAGTTTCTCTCCTGTAAGTGGACTGTGTTGTGTTCCTCATCTGTGTGTGTGTGGCCAGTATTTATGCATAAAGGAACTGTTTTGTGGAAATATTTAAAGTATTTATATAAAAAGGAACTTCAACTCGCTGCAGAAGGATGTTGAATCTGTTTCAACAATGTGGATTGTGTTCATTTAAATGAGGTTCAAATGTATTCATTTTAACAGGTGGTGTTGTAAACTTTTTGGAAATGTTTAGGTTAGTGCTGTTACAGACATGAACAGACTGATAGTAACAGACATGAAACAGGTTAAATGAAATAAGCATTCGTATGTATGCATTTCAACCGGGGTTCGCTATATTCAGCGGCGTAATCTCAATGTCACGTTTGTTTAAATCTAAGGTTAATTAATGTTTGATTAGCTGTGCTGAGTGTGCGGTCAATTTCAGCTGCAAACGCACTTTTAATTGATCCTAATGGCTCTATACAATTAGAGAATATTGTTATATTAATGACAGTTATCTAATGAATAATTTATGATATTTGCTCCGGTGGGTGCTGGGGTCTTATCTATTGGATTGCAATGCATATTCTTGTTAACGCTTGTGAACATTTCACATTACACGCCACTTGTGTTAAGCTGGTCGGTGTGGTAGCCTAGGCACACATAGATAGAAATACATGCGGTTCACATGGCAATCCCGGCCAGATGCATTTGTTTTAGGTCAAAAAAGAGTCCGGGGAAAAGGTGATATGGTCACCATACTTAAGATATAATCACCACAAAATGAGGATAGTAACTTGAGTTCTTGACACTTCCAAGTCACCTTTCAGTGACCTGGGCCATATGTTAGGGAGGGAAAGAGGGGCATAAGAATGGGTGAAGGGGCAGTTAAGTAGATCGTATTGTTTTGTTGCATGGCATCTGTTTTGTGTGAGTTCCTGATGTTTTGGTTTCACACAAACAAGTGAAAAGTATTTCCTTTCCCAAGTAACAGTAAATTAATATCACAATAAATACAATATCGATATTGTATGATATAAAAAAAAAATTGTGATAATATTTTTGGCCATATCGCCCAACCCTAGTTCAAAGTTTTTTTTTTTAAAAGTGTCTGAATAGTTCTTGCAACCTTTACGTAAAGAAATGTTGCTTGCTGTGGTGAAGTGGTTATTTTCAAAAACCTGCCTTGAGGGTACACCATATTGTTTAGTTGTCAACACCAGGGCTGTTGATGCTCCATTATTTGTTGCAGCATTCAAGCATATTATCTTTAAAGGAACACTCCACTATTTTTGAAAATACGGAAAAACTCAACTGTTTAACTCTAGCGGAGTTGGAAAATGAACCTATTTTTAAAAAATATTGGAGTGTTCCTTTAACATACGAACTTAGTGATCCAACCATCCATCATATAAAAATTAGGATAACTTCAGTGATGGAAGAAAACACCACACTTCTCTTACCTTCCTGGAGTATTCATCCACTGCTCCAAAACTGACTATGTTGTACCTATTAAGTAAAGCTTTTAGCATAAAATGAGCATTTTGCATATGGAATTCTACTAATATAGTGCAAGGAGACATGTGTTTATAAGAAATACTCATAGGAGTACATGACAATGGAAAATGACAAAACTTTATTAACTTGTGATTAGTATCCACATGCCAGAGAGACAGAGGCCCTCTCACAGAATATGTGCAGCGTACCACACACCAATACCAATCTGTACATTCTGGATAGGACTCCTGTCGAATCCACTTTGTGCACTGAAGCAGCTACTCTTCTCCACTGAATGTGAATCACCATGGATTGAAGCCTACCTTTGACCATTTGGTATCCAGCAGAGGAAATTTCTTTTTTAATCTGGGCAACCAATCAATTGAGGTCTTGATCTATTGAGGTCTTGCTCAATGTTACTGTACGTTTTCGTGGAAAACCCAAGCTCTTTAATTCGTTTGGGACAGTGACATGAAATGCCCAGAGGTTTTGCAATGTAGCATACAGAAAATTCCATGAAATCAAGATCAACTGGTGTTCTTATGAGAGCTTTTCCGTTTTTCTTTTTTTCTATTCAATTAGCTTGATAATGTACTGAATAAAACGAAACAATTTGCTCCTGAACTTGTTTTTAAAAGGGACTACACCTAGATTGTATATGACGATTCTTGCTGTTATTTTGCACAATTAAAGTTATTTGTTATGTTTCATCATTCATCAATTAGATCTAGGTATTATAATGTTCTTTTTTCTGTTTGGTTGGTTGGTTGGTTGGGGGCGGGGGACAGTTTGCAGCATTGTATATCTGTGGTTTCTGTTGTATCTTTTACCCAATTGTATATAGAATGCTGCAGCAAACAAATTCGTAAGAGGAAAAATGCAAACAATAAACCAACTCTATAGCAGATTCTAAGTGATCAAGGGCTTAGGACGTTCCAGTTCAGTCCATTGCAAGGGTTCCGCCAGTAGTGGGCACTCGTGCAACGTAATCAATTACGTACATCTGAGTAAACGAGACGGAGGGAAGTTTGCGAGTGAAGGGCATAAAAAATAGACTGGAACGCAGCCAAGGTTTGATGGTGTTGGAATTGCGATCACGTTCTTCCGGCTTTGAAGCAGGGCTTGAAAACGAAAAAAAATGTTTCAATCGGTTCACTCAGAGCAGAATCGATATTTTAACGTTTCTGTTTCTGCGTTCCTCTGTATTATTATCGTTCTGAAACCGGTTTGAGTAGACAAAATACCGATTAATTACGTTATTTTTAAAACTTTTTATTTGCCTATAATAATAATAATATTAAAAAACAGCGTTTTCTTTACTCAAAAAGATAAAAAAAAAAACAGAAAGAGATCTGGTATCTTAACCTGCTGCGCTTAGTCACAGCCAATACTAAACAAAAGAAAAAAATCTGTTAACACTTTAAAGACATTAAAGTATTTAAGATATTTAAAAATGTTTGCTGCATTGTTAAAAAAAAAAACGCTCCTCGTATAAAATTGCATTTTGGGAGGGCAAAAAGTCGCGTAGGCTCAAGTTGCATTTTATTATTACATTCAGAAATAATGTAGGCTAAATTGCTGGTAAAGCAAAATGTTTACAAACATTATAAACACTGCATATCTATGAACACAGTTTATTTCTTTCCACTTTAGGCTATAAAAATGTCAATCCAAAAACAAATTAATTTAAAGTGAAACTGATGCCTACCTTTCACATTCGGCACAAATCCAAATGTTTCCATATTTGCAACATCTGGATGCTAAAGTATTTATTATAGGCTTTGTACTTCACTCGAATCGATGTAAAATATCATTCTTCACATCAGCTATATCAGCACAGTGAGGCCCTGGTCACGCTGAACGCAATAGATTGTAAAACTGAGCAGTGTAACTTATGTTTTTTTTTAACTGTATTTTATTTTGATAATGAACAGGCACACTGCCACTGGGACTGATGAAGTTGAGAAAGTTTGAACAGTTATCAAATGACTTAAATTAATGATATTTGCTCAGGTGGATGCTGGGTCTTATCTATCGGATTGCAACGTATATCCATTTGTTAATTAACATTACCCATAGTGCGCATCTAATTAGAGTTAAGCTAGTGGGCGTGGTAGCCAAGGCTCACATAGTCATATGTCAAATCTTGTGGGAGCGGGTGATTTTACCTTTTCCATGGGCGGGAGTTGGTGATCAAGTCCCGCGATTTGGTGCATAACAAGAATAATGGAGTTGCATAAACACTAGGCTGCGTAAGTTGGTATTACACGGTGTTTGCTCGTACACGATTACATAACTTGCTGCACCACCCCCACTGTCATTTTGCTTTTTATAGAAATTAAAATTATTTAATTCAGTTATAAAACGTATAGACATAAAATTAGTGAATGTTACAAAAAAGAATATGGACTTCCTCCAAACGTCCACCATCCTGTTTGTAGGGTGAATGTATATGGATAGTGTCAATTTAAAAAGAAAAAAAAAAAGCGTGTCAAGCATTAAAAAATGTAAAAACCACTGGCCTAGGATTTTATTCTGTCAACGTATAGCATATAGCTAAATAGTTGATCAGTGATACACTCTCTCGCCGACAAAGGTGTTGCCTCCCTCTTTCATTTCATTAACATCTGGTGTTCTAGTCTCCTATGGATATGAAAAATGACAACATGCTGTCTCTTGACATTTTTTAAATATATTTTTATAAGAATAATTCATAAGGTATATACTCTCTCAAAACATTACACTGCTCACGAAACAATAAGCAGTAAGTACCAATCAATGAGAGCAATTTTGAACGCTTATTGGTCAAATATATGTTGAGGACAAATATATCTACATAAACCTATGCTCGCTCTGTCTCGTATGCTAATGATCTAATGCACTTATTAATGCTGGATCTTTAAAAACGAATACCAAAATCTGACATTTTCCAGAACAGGATCTGGCTCAATTTAAGCACTGCTTTTATCAACAAGATTTGTTAATGCCATTATGAATAGCTATGCAACAGTTTATGGACTGTATGTGATTTAGTAGGTTTTTGAATAAGAATAATTTTTTTCCAGAATATCTAGATCAATCAAAAGACAGACTTGGATGCATGTTGGTTGTGCCAAAAAAAAAAAGTGTTATTGCAATGTTAAATTTGTTGCAATTTTGCACTTTTGACAAATATTTGAATATTATGTATAATAAAACAATAGTCACTGACATCATAATTGTATTGTTTTGTTTCAAATACCAAATATTTTATTTAAAACATTTCTCATTAATGCTTATTTGGTTATTTGTAATATACATTAGTGTGGAAAAAAAGTTTCAATGTAGCTAGCTACTTTTTGGTAAACGAATACCAAAATCTGACATTTTCCAGAACAGGATCTGGCTCAATTTAAGCACTGCTTTTATCAACAAGATTTGTTAATGCCATTATGAATAGCTATGCAACAGTTTATGGACTGTATGTGATTTAGTAGGTTTTTGAATAAGAATAATTTTTTTCCAGAATATCTAGATCAATCAAAAGACAGACTTGGATGCATGTTGGTTGTGCCAAAAAAAAAAATGTGTTATTGCAATGTTAAATTTGTTGCAATTTTGCACTTTTGACAAATATTTGAATATTATGTATAATAAAACAATAGTCACTGACATCATAATTGTATTGTTTTGTTTCAAATACCAAATATTTTATTTAAAACATTTCTCATTAATGCTTATTCGGTTATTTGTAATATACATTAGTGTGGAAAAAACGTTTCAATGTAGCTAGCTACTTTTTGGTAGTAACTTGTAGTGTAACTAGTTACTTTTTCAGAAGGGTAGCTTGATTGTAGCTTAACTACTTTAATTTATGAGTAGCTTGTAGCTTGATAAGCTACAGTTTCAGAGTAGATTCCCCAACACTGGCGATTTATTAATTTCAAAGTATTATCCTGAATCAAATGTATCATATGCCATCTACCATAACTGCTCAATAATTTGAGACTACAGCAAAGAAGATGGACTGTGTGGCCACATGCATTCATATGAACATGACAAAATAAAATAAAAACCTTCAAGACAAAGTAAAAAGAGGTGAAGGATGGGGGATACTTTTAGGAACCTGGAGTATCTGCATTTGGGGCACATTCATAGCTTTGATTTCACACAGATACTTAATTGTCCGATCGCTGAGCCATTTAAAACTCTTTCCTCAAAAAGAACAAGAATAGGGTCTCTCATATGCATGACTTTCCATATGTATCAGAAAAATAATTTTATTGTGATACATGTGCAGGTGATTTTTTTTTGTAAACCTCTTTTCACATTCAAAACATCTGTCATTTATGTCCAGAACGAGCTTGCCAATAGTTTTTCATGTCTCTATGATATGTGAAACTCCTTTCACACAGAAGACACTTCTCTCTCCACTGAGAAGCCTCCACTGAGTGTTTAAGTGCAAAACTCTTTCCACCGTGATGGTAAATGACAGTCTTCTTCGATGTGAATTCTTACATGATTCTTTAGGTGTTTCCTGTCTGTGAAACTCCTTCCACACTGACGACATATAAAACCGTTCTCTCTTGAGTGAATCCTCATGTGCTGATTAAAGGCTACTTTAAATCTGAAACTCTTTCCACACTGACCGCATACAAAGGGCTTTTCTCCAGTGTGAATTCTTACGTGGGCATTAAGACTTGCTTTTTGAGTGAAGCTTATTCCACACTGTTTGCATTTGAAAGGCTTCTCTCCAGTGTGAATTCTCACGTGGACTGTCAGGTTTCCTTTTCGATTGAAACTTTTTCCACACTGTTGGCAGGTGAATGGGTTTTCTCCGGTGTGAATCCTCATGTGGTTAATAAGGTGTCCTTTTTGACTGAACTTCTTTCCACACTGCTGGCAAGTAAACCGTTTCTCTCCAGTGTGAATTCTCATGTGGATTTTAAGGCTTGCTGATCGATTGAAACTCTCTCCACACTGTTTGCACGTGTAAGGCTTTTCTCCTGTGTGAACTCTCATGTGGACATTAAGACTTCCTTTACTAGTGTAACACTTTCCACACTGTTGGCAGGTGAAATTACGTCTAGTCTTCTGAGCTCGTTGTCGTGACAAAGTCTTTTCAGTCTGAGAGCAACTAAAAGATTTTCTCCAGTTATGAAAGCATGTTTGTTCCTTTTCTTTCAGTTCTTGATTCTCCTCCTTTAGTGACTTTGGGTCTAAGGAGAAGAAAAGACAAATAAGCCCAGTTTAAAAGCACATGTAAAGCATCAAAACCAATCACATGTATGCTGGATCCTACATGCACTAAGCTGCTCGCAGAAACTCTTCTCAATATTGTTCACTTTTAGCTTTTCATTCAGAAATGAAGCCCATCATAAAACTAGTCTTTTATGGCCACCGTCCTACCGAGGTCTGTTCCAACCCTAATTAAACACACCTGCCTGTAACTGTCAAGCAATCCTGAAGACTTCTGTTACATTGTTCAGGTGTGTTTGATTAAGTTGTCCATCCTGACGTAGACCATCACATTTTCCTGGACAGCTTGTGAATTGTGTTGCCATTTGTGGACATCTAATAGCATGGTTATGTCACATCTATCTTGACTTGACTTGACTATCTGACCATTTTGTTTGTGTGAAACGAGAAATTTCCAACTCAACTATGCAGTGCCCTCTGCGTCACCTAATGCAGACCTGCCAACCTTGGAAACTATCAGTGAGACGAGATGGGACACAAGGTTTGAGGGGGATTCTTCGTATTGTATATTCCTAGATAGCTACATTATTATCTACTATGGCGAATGTCAAAATCGTAAGTGCAAAATGCAAGATTTAATGTTAAATATTTTTTCAAGGTTAGTACACACACATTTGTGCTATTCCTGTTATACAGTATTTTAGAGTAAACCGTAGGGATGCAACAATACAGTTATAGTCCAAGGTTCAATACATACCTCGGTTTTTTTTAACCACAGTTTTTGTTCGGTTCAGTTTGGTTCTAATGGCTTGGCACATCAATTTAAAATGCCTTTTTTTTTTCAATATGCAATTTAAAACTCCAGTGCACTTCTGTACACTGGAGAAAAACATGGATGATCATACGTCTACTTCAAATTTCTTTTGAGAGAAGTACTATTTTTATGGATTGGCCATTATTTAGTGCTATTAACGCATGTGATGTCTGTTTCATTCATACTCAAAGCAGCCTCAAGCAGAAAATCCACTGTAACTGCATAAAAGAAGATAGTCGAGTGTTTGTCTTCATGTTTCTTCATTCAAAACGTTTCTGAGACAATGTATGATTTATCTGTGTTCTTAAAACCACCTCGGCTATTTTAATAATAATTAAGTATTTATAAACCATTGCTAATTGATATAGCCTTTTTACAATATAGAATATATTTTCTGCATAATTCCGTGACAAGAATCCACATCACATCACAAACTGAAGTTATTTTAAACATTCGACTTGTGGAGTATGTTATAATGTTCTCTTTTGTTGGACAACAGGTTTAGAAACGCTTCTCATTGCAAATCATTACAGAGGAAGATGTTTGATGTGCATTGCTTTTTCAAATGCTCTTAATTAGGGTTGCCCCCTAATAGTTGACTAATCGTTAGTTGACCAAAATTTTATTAGTCACAGAAAAGAAAAAAAAGTCCACAGGCGAAGTCACGCAGTCCATGACAGACAGATCATTAATGGCTGGTCTATGGCAGAGGTCCCCAACCACCGGGTCGTGACCCACTACCGGGCCGTGGAAGAATTACTACCGGGTCACACAAACGTTCTAGTAAAAATGTGTATAGATATGACGCTTTTATTTATTGCGCGTTAAATCATTGTTACAATTATTCTGTGTTTATCGTTGTATGCAATTGATATGGAGTAGCAATTTGACGATTTCATGTTAAATTAGTAAATTAAAGATTGCTCTGACCTGTCATATATTAGGGGTTAAACGGAGCACAGTTGATCCGTGATATGTACGGATGAGACCCCACAGTTCGGAACTATTCTCTAGCTGCCGCGCCGCCATATTGGTAATCCCCACTATTCCCATACATTCCATTGAATTAATAGGAAAGCGTACAAATTTAATGAGAAAACATCACCTAACAAGTCAGTGTTTTTAAATCTGAAGTATCCCTGTACATTCTTACAATGCAATCACTAGGCATGTAAACGGAGGCCAGCGGTAGGTGCTGTGCAGGTAAACCTCAATACCCTGATCTCAAGAGACGCACTAGCGACTGACGCTAGTGGCTGCAGTTTTTAGCCTCCTTGTTAGTGCGTCCGCCTCCCATGCCGGAGACCCACTCGGAGCGAGAACGAGGTGTGGCGGTGAGGACCCGGGAGAGAGGGGTTACATTGGTGCCGTGACCCGGATGGGAGTGAGGCTAAGGGGGGTGAGTGTAACGGAGGCCAGCGGTAGGTGCTGTGCAGGTAAACCTCAATACCCTGATCTCAAGAGACGCACTAGCGACTGACGCTAGTGGCTGCAGTTTTTAGCCTACTTGTTAGTGCGTCCGCCTCCCATCCCGGAGACCCAAGTTCGAGACCCACTCGGAGCGAGAACGAGGTGTGGCGGTGAGGACCCGGGGGAGAGGGGTTATATAAACGGTTATTTTTTTAATGTCGGGAATTTCCCCTGCTTATTAAAAAGTTACGTTCATTACAGTAGCAAACATCAGATGAACATGATAAACATCAGACGGACACGACTTAGCTCAACATATATATAACAAATGACAAAGTGCTCATTCAGAAATCTGAAGAAAGATTTTGTATACACATATACCTTCATTCGCCTTGTAGTCATTATGTAATTTTGTTATAGTGTTTTTATTCGTACAGTAGGCTAACTGCAAATGTTTCAACAATGATTTCGTTAACACCATTCATTTTGAAGCAGGTAATGATTTATGGCGAGCTGCATCACGCCGGATCTGTTTCCTATGTTGTTGTGATTTCATCTGAATGGAAACAGCGTATCCGTGTGACGCAGCTGACACAAAACAGCATACGCTGCTTACGTCCAGCTGATACTCTCCAAAATGGCACTACAGGGTGACGCGAAGGAGACGAATTGTTGAATAAAGTCGTTTTTTGTTTCTTTTGTGCACAAAAATTATTCTCGTAGCTTCGTATAATTGCGGATGAACCCCTGATGTCACATGGATTATTTTACAGATCCCCTTGCTACGTTTCTGGACTTGGGAACATTTCAGTTGCGTTGCTGTCTATGGGAGGGTCAGACAGCTCTCAGATTCCATCAAAAATATCTTAATTTGTGTTCCGAAGATGAACGAAGGTCTTACGGGTTTGGAACGACATGAGGGGGGAGTAATTAATGACAGAATTTTCTTTTTTGGGTGAACTAACCCTTTAACCTCATTCTTTTGTCTCGATACATAAAGAAACATTTGCACTGATGGGCAAACACAATGGCCTGATTTTGTAAATGTTACTTATCACACCTGCATTAATACATTGGTTTGTCCAGTTTTATGCGGTCCCATAGCAAAGTCACGTCTTTTTTTGATGCGCATTAAGGAACTTATTCGGTAAAAGTGTTTCCATCGTAGGTTATGTGCATGTTTTCTCACCGGATAAGTAATTTATCTTACTTAGTTGAGCACATACGTTTTTTTATGTGCATTTTTAGAATTTATTTGCATCTTGGCATTTTATTTTATGCGATACACCAAAATGCACATAAAAATAGGCTGAGGGAAACATAGCCATTGACCTATAAACTTTATTTCTACATATTGTGACATGTCATAACAAATGTCCAAATACACAAAGTAAAGCCACTTTAATTATGACACTCATCAAATATATTGTTAATTTCTGTAGAGCTGGACATTTTAATAAGGATCAAATGAGCGAGTTCAGTTTTGAGAATGAAAATCAACCTGTTTGTTCCTCAGTATCTTCATGTTTGTCTCTGAATGCTTCTTCAATCTTCATGTTTTCACTCTCCTCTTTAATAAACGCCATCTTTATAATCGTGTCACGTGGATCTCAGTTGATTCAGCAGGAGTTTTTCTGTGTGTTTGAACACTTTGTCCTGTTTAATAAAAAGAGAATAATTAATAGAAAGGAAAATAATCAGCTCCCTAGTTCAGTAGTCCGCACACTGGTGAGGGAGTCAGTCAGTGAGATAGTTAATGACCTTAAATCACCTGATGAGACAAAAAATAGCATTCAAATTAATAAAAGGACACAAATAATATATGAGGTTCTTAATAAAGGTTGTATTTAGTATTTGCTGATTTGTAAATCAGACTTTTATTTAGATTGTACTTTCATGAACACATTTGCAGTTGGTTTGTAAAAGTCATGTTTGTGTTATTGTTCTCGTTGTTTTGAGCAGCAGTGACTCGTCAGCGAGCGGCGATTCGAAACTGATTCAAATGACTCGATAAAGTTTCCAAAAGCTCCGTTTCTCCATCACTACTTGCTAGCGACTGAATTTGTTCATTATAAACTGGTTCACGATGCAGGGAAGTCGCAGCTTTTCAGTTACTCGTGTTCAGATGCACTTTACTCGCACAAAATAACCTTCATTAACATCTCTAGATAAAGCATTGCAGTTAAACGCCTTCTCCTTCTTGTTTTATGCATCCAATGTGTTAGCCTGCGTGCCAATGTGCACACTATCCATCCTAAATTATACGCGATATTAGTCATTTTCAATACTATTTAGGGTGGATAGTATGCACATTGGGATGCAGGGATATAAACTCGGTATAATTCATTTCATAAATAGTTAAAATCACACACCTTTCTTCAGCCGAATCACAGACGCAGGAGCGCAGCGCATCCTTATGACCTCACATCGCCACACCAAAATAAAAGTCTTGTCCACATGCCAAAGAATAGAATTCATAGAACTTTACATTAGAAAACAAATATCAGTAACAGATATGGGTTGAAACGCAGAGCTATCAAAAAACCCCAAAGCTATTAATACCATTAATCTTTTTTTTGAAAAGCTGTATGTCTTGGTTCTAAATGTACTGCGAAGTGCTTTCAATTCATGATCACCTACAGAGCATTTGTGATATTCTCAGTCAATGAGAAATTCCAGTATCTTGATCTTTATAATTACAAAGGTTTGGAAAGAACTTCTGAAGTCATAAACAGATCAAAAATTAAATATGTGGTTGTACAGAGATCTAACTATTTCATTTATTAACCGAAACTCACACAGTGTTTGCTTTTTATGGCGACCATTACACAGAATGCAAGAGATTCGCATTTTCTACACTCCTCACTCTTCACATACTGCCACACTAGTTTTAAGTCATGTTTACAGTATTTACGTTACTTTGCTGATTGATCATTTTGAACGGAGTCATCTTTCAACATATTTTCACGCTTGAATAGACAAATACACACAGAGTTATGTCAAAACGTCTGTTTTGGCCAGTATTCATTCACGTAAACCCAGCTGATTGTGTCTTAATTTAAGTTTTCTGTTCAAACAGTCAAAGTCAGTTGTAATCCTTAACAGTCGTGGACCTTTAATATAATCCACTCTAACCAAATATAGCTTAAATCTGATTTACTGCCCTAATATTCTGGGGAGAAACTGAGATGAAATAAGATGGATATTTACATTGTCAGGATTCAGTTTCAGTTAATAAATTAAATAGTTAGAATTGAAAGCACAGAAAGCTTTTCAAAAAATATTAATGGTTATAATAGCTTTGGGCTTTTGATAGCTCTGCGATTCATCTCATCTGTTATTTATATTTGTTTTCTAATGTAAAATTATATGAATTCTACTCTTTAGCGTGTGGACAATACTTTTATTTTGGTCTGGAGATGTGACGTCACAGAATGTATAATTGGGTGATAATCTTCTTATTTAGTAGAAGAATTGAAATAAGGGTTGATAAAGAGACTCGGGTATGCACTTTGTAGAGACAGTAAATTGATACAAATCAAAATGCAAGAAAATCAATAATATCTTGGGTTGGGGAGCAACTAGGTCTTCATTGAGGAATATATACTGGGCTCTTATGAGATGTGGTTGTATAGCTTATATGTCAGCAGCTGAAACTAGACATAGAAGAAGCTCAAGCCCTAAGAATATGTAGTGGAGCACTCAAAACATCTCCAGTTGCAGCTATACAGGTAGAAACTGGGAAGATGCACTGCTGTTGGGCGATTTTAACATTCATGTTTGCTGTGCTTCTAAACCATACTCAGCAGAAGTACTTTTGACTTTACTGAGTGGGTTTCTGGTCCAACACATATCCGTGGTCATACCCTTGATTTGATTTTAACCCATGGTTTTTCTATTTCAAACATTGAAATCAGTAGTTCTTTTTCTGATCACAGGCCGGTTCTTTGTACTGTCCCTCTTGCGGGCCGAATCCTCAGAAATCCATCGCTCTTACTCAACATTCTAGGGAAGAATTTTCTGTAGCCAACCGTGAAGTCTGCAACTCAACGAAGCACACAGCGCCTTCACAACATGGCGGCGGCGGCAACAACAATACCATGTTTTTAACTGCTCGTGTTTTCATATGCAGCTGGCAAATAAAATGAAACAATAATTACTTCTGAGACAACACATACATTTATTGTTGGGTTAACTAACTGGTTTTGTGTCGATTGATCCAGAGCCACTAAACAAAATCTGCCTAAACACAACGTGTCAGAATGCTATCAACAATACCATATTATAGTATAATAATCAAATAATAGAAATGTGCGTGTGTGTGTGTAGAAACCCTTTAAATCACACTGAGATGATATATTTTCACTTGTAAATCCCACTGTTTGCATTCTAATACTAGTATAAATGGTTTCTAATACTATAGTGTTTTTGAGCCATACTATAGTAAAGTATTATACTGTATAGTATTTACAACACTTTGTTAATGAATGCTACAGCATACTGTATAGTGAACTGATAAACTGTAATAAATACTGTAGTATACTTTAGTTTTTAATACAGTAAACTGTAGTGTATTGTAGTATGATATACCCTATAGTTGTAGAAAACTTAGATCAGTATTGGGTGAATTAATTTTTTATATTACTATAGAGTTGTTATATTACCACAGCAACTATAGAATTACCACAACAAATTAATTCAAGTACTTTACTATAGTAAGGTTCAAAAACACTATAGTGTTTACTATAAATTACTATAGTATTTTTCCATTGGGAAACATATTAAAGTTCTGTCTTTAAGACAGAATCTCACCTTCTTTCATTTGTAGTTCTTAATATTTTCAACACACCGCTGGACAACATTTGTTTAAATATGTATTTCACCAATAAGTCAACTCTAAATTTGCATTTTTTTGTTGTAGTTTAGACAGCGACGTGATGACAGGACTTTTATTTTGGTGTTGTGGTGTGACGTCATAAGACCGCGCCGCTCTCCTGCGTCTGTCGAGATTCGGCCTGCAGAAAGGTTTGTGGTGTTTTTTTTTAAGCATTTGAAAGCGTTTAAATCAATGCAAGACGTTAATGAAATTTCATAGTTTTTACAAACAACGTAAAATTGTTTAATTATGGATGAAGTAAACGATGTGATACTTTATCTAACATTAATAAATAAACGGTATTTTTATGAGTAAACCGCACTCGCAAAGGCTGCGTCTCATTTTGCTCCCTATGTAGTGAATCCGTTTATACTCACTGGCAAGTGCTGATGAGAGAAACATAGCTTTATGAAACAAAACAGTTAGGCTAACTTACTTCCCAAAATGATTCAGTGATTCGTAGCGCAAACACAACAAACAATGCAATTTTTGTACAAAAAAAAAGTAGCAATTTTTTTCGTGAAAACGTAATCTGTTAATTATAGTAAGTATTAAATGTGCAAATAACAACATTATTAGGGTGCCAACTTCAGAAAAGGAAAATAAGGGACGCTACCTTGTTTATGATACGCCTTTCACGCTACGCTTAACCTTGGCTTAATATTATAGCTATAAAATTGGATTTTTCTGATCATTATGATGTGTTTTGGCTGCTTTAATTTTTAAATGTTATTAAATGCTTATTTCAGAGATGAAATTCCACATTTCAGCTCTAGAGTAATCTCTCTGCTGGTCATCAACATCTGCAACATATTAATTAGCTTACATGATTATGAAAATAAAACTAAAAATAACCTGCAGGGAATGATCTGGGAAGGTTCCTAGGATGGTTTTTATTTGATTCCCAAAAATGACCAAAAGGGAACCATAGGGGATCGTTCTGTGTTTGTTGGTTATGGTGTATTACTGCAAATATGGGCAAAACTGCATTTCTTATGGCTTTCATAAATGCTTATTTGATGCCTTAAATACGAGACAATTCTGTATCATACGGAAAGGTTGGCAACCCTAATCTAATACCAAATGCAAAACATGCTGATGTTTTTTGTTTAATTAGGTGATTTAAGGCCATTAACTCTGTCTGGCATCACTACAGCAGTGCAGTAACTAGGGAGCAGATTGAGACGCACCCAGAGATTTAGTTTGCATTTATTATTGGTTTTCTTAATTATTCTCATCTTAAACAGGACAAAGTATCCAAACACACAGAAAAACTCCTGCTGAAGCGACTGAGATCCACGTGACCCTATAATAAAGATGGCAGTTATTAAAGAGGAGAGTGAAAACATGAAGATTGAAGAAACATTCAGTCTGAAACCTGAAGATACTGAGGAACAAACAGGTTGGTTTTCATTCTCAAAGCTGGACTCAGTCATTTGATCCTCATTAAAATATCCATCTCTACTGAAATTAACGATATTTCTGATGAATGTCATATGAGCGTCCTAATTGAAGTTGTTTTATTTGACATGGAGTGGGTCCTCGTGCTGACCAGACAAATACCAGATAAAATGTCAAAATGACTGTTTTTGGCAAGTGACTTCATAAATCTTAAAAGAGCTAAAACGTCCTAAATAGGGCCTTTCGCACCGCTTTAGTTCCAGAACTAAATGTACAGTACTAAAGTACTGGGACGATTTTGCGCAAACTATTTCCCAGTACCATTTAAAGGGTTGCATTCGCACTGACAGTGTGTACTAAGAAGTGACGTAAGACGGTCGACAGCGACATCATTTGTGCGCGGCGTTCAACAACATAAACAAAGAAGAACAACGTTAACAACAGGAGGATGGAGGACGCTGTGATCGGAGCTGTGTTTTTGTTGTGTCTCGCGGGTTTCACAATAATGGACATGGAAAGTCGACGTATACGTAAAGCGATTGAAAGAACGGAAAGGAGGACTAAGAATCTCCAACGACAACTGGCAGTGCTACATTTGCTACAAGTGCCTGCAGCGTCTGTCCATCTATCGCTGTTCTCCATACTTGCGAAATAAGTTGACACAATGTTTACAGTATGTTTACACAGCGTTTTAAATCAAGGCGGGTGAGGGCGTTTTCGTATGCGTTTGGCCAATCAATGTCTACTTACGTCACGATTAGTACCAGTTGTGCTGGTTAGACCCTGCTCCGGAGTAGGAGCTAATTTGGTTCTCGAAAAAGGCAGTCCGGTACTAAAATCGCTCCCAGTTCCGGCGGTGCGAAAACGCCAAAAAGTGGGTAGTTCCACAATTAGTTCTGGTACTATGAAAAGGTTCCTGCGGTGCGAAAGGCCCTAATGACCATAAAGAACAAGGAGAAAATTGGATTTGTGTCAGATCCACGTGCAACAGATTTTAAAGAGACAGCACTGCTTTTATGCTGTATTCAAGTCTTTTGTCTCATCCACACAAAGCCAGAGCTTTCCATATCCGCTCTTTTTTTCCCCTCATTCTTCTGTAAACATGGCTTCGTCTCAAGAATAGGGATGGGCATATTTGGCAATTTCTTATTTTGATCATCGATAGGTTTCAAAAATGAAAACATGAACATGTGATTAGAACACTGTTAGATTATGATTATGATGCAGCAATGTTGTTAAAAAAAAGAAGCATAGGAATAGCTGCCTGAGGTGAAGCTGAAGAGTGACTTTATGCCAATAAACTAAAGCCTGTTTATGACACATCCTATGATATTAATCAGATAACTTGGATATATAACATAGACATAACGTTACAACTTGTTTCTGCACAAAAGGATGCAAAGAGCTTCTGTCGTGATGGGCTTTCATGACAGTGCGCTGAAACAGGCAAGGAAAGCAAACAGAATTTACTATAAATTTCACATTTTATAAAGTTCCTGTTATAATGCTTATGGCATTAATGTTTAAGGCAGATTTGTGCTATATTTCCATCTACATTATCAAGTGATTTCTGAAATTGCCTGCGCGATTTCAATGCATACGAAAACAATTTTAATTGAAGTATGCCTACTGTTGAACAAATATGACGAAAAAAGCACTGCGGCATTATAATGTCAGTATTTTTTCAAAAGAAACATCTAAAAGCAATATGACCATCTCAACTCTGTCAATATCAGGCATTGCATTTGAGCATGAAACTAAACACTGGTAATATGCAGTGCGTTCAGCATGTTAATTAATTTTAATATCCCAACACATCCTATATTAGATTAATCAGATAAGTATGTAGGTAACATGCTGTGGCCAGCTAAACAATCTGAGCTCAGGGTGCCGCCCAAAGTGCTGCTATAACCAATCATTTTTTTCTCCACGATCATCGTTTTCATGATCGATCATCGCTGTCACGGCCGATAGTGCACGATCGTGCAACACGATCGCTGTTGCACATCCCTACTCAAGAAATATCTGAAAACAAATATCACAAAACCACTGAAACGGACTCAAAACAATGTAGTATACATGCCAGACCAGTATGTGGCGCTGTAATTCTGCCACAGAGATGCACTAAAAACGGAGAAGACTTGTGTGTTGTGTACAAACCCAACACAACAACAAGAAAAGCTAGTAAAGCTAATGGTGATGGGAAGTTCGGCTCTTTTGGCTCGGCTCCCTTAGAAGAGCCGGCTCTTACGACTCCCAAATGGCTTTTTATTTAGCATCACTCTGAGCCTTCTATTTTAGCCCAATGTAGCAATTGTGAATGGTTTGTGTGTTGGTTAGCAATTTTTTTTATTCAGTGATTTCATAAAAGCCTTGTTTTTATGCTTTTTTTTTTTGTTACAAAAAAAATACACAGATACTATTATTTAACATTTTAATAAACTTTAATAATAACACTTTAGTCTTAAGGGCAGGTTGGCATTCAGAAATATCAGATGCCTCAGCTTGGATGTGATAATAACACTTTAGTCTTAAGGGCAGGTTGGCATTCAGAAATATCAGATGCCTCAGCTTGGATTTGCTGATGCGATTTCTCCCCTCTGTGATTATTTGTCCTGTTTTTGAGAAGACTCTCTCTGAGGGGGCCGATGTTGCAACAAATTGCAACATTTTTTATAACACTAAATAAAAAAATTGCTTACCAACACACAAACCATTCACAATTGCTAAATTGGCCTAAAATAGAAGGCTCCGGTTGAAGACATCACTAAAAGCTAATAGGCTCAGTAGCTTCTGCAGAACAAACGCAAGCATGTAGTCTGCTATTGACATCATCGTTTCACAAATTATACGGATTGGCTGTACACACGAAAATGCAAAGGTGTCGTTTTCAGATTTATCCACTCTGGGGCCCAGTTTAAAAAAAGATAGCGGTTTCACGCTCCCAAAAAGCTGGATCTGTCTGAACAAAACGTTGATATAATACATAATTTTTACATGTACAGCTGAATGCTTCTCGGTGTGGATGGGGCCAAAGTCGGATGTTGAGAACATTCTAGTTGAATTGTTCCACTTCCAACTTTAACGAGTTCCAGTGAATCACACGTCGCGTTCACATGTTGCCCACATGATGTTGCCACGACACAAAGAGAGCGTTTTGTGTTTTTGTATCAATTATAGCAAAAACATACAAAAAAATAAACAAAATGCTGCCGTTCGTTTTGAAAACAGTTGACAAAAAGCAAAAAGAAAACTTAAAGGGTTAGTTCACCCAAAAATGAAAATTAGGCTGCGGTCACTAATTAGAAGAGCAAAACGAGGATTTGTAAGGAATGTCGGAGGATTTCGATATAAGCCAAGAGGAGACTGGTTTTCCTTTGCTTAAATAAGGAAACTGCTTCTTTTGATCCTGTAAACAAACGCTGGTTTTCACGAGACTCACCGGCGCATGCGCAGCGCTGAACTCATACGTCATGCTCCCGGAACTGCTTCTGTGTACAACTGCTGGCGCTAGCTACATTAAAGTGATTATTACATTTTTAATATGGATATTTTTCTTACAAAAACGCATCGATTCGCTACAGGAGGCCTTTGTTCACCCCCCGGAGCCGTGTGAGACACTTTTTTTTTTTATGGAACGGTGCTATTTATTTCACGTCTTTTGAACAGAAGCACTGCAACACCCGCTGAGTGCAACGATAGAGCTTGAAAGATCAAAGACAATTTTCAATATAACTCCGACTGGATTCGTCTGAAAGAAGAAAGTAATATACACCTAGGATGCATCGGGGGTGAGTAAAACGCAGCCTAATTTTCATTTTGGGGTGAACTAACCCTTTAATGTTAATGTTTTTAAGTTTGACGTACGTTAGGTCCACACTATGCTCGCTGGAAGCAGCGATGTCAAATGACGCGCCTCGCTGAGGTCGGGGTTGATCGATTTGCCCCGAGTTCACTTCAAGCCCCGTTTCTGGTAGGTTTTGTCACTCTACGCAAAAATGTGGTGACGCCTCAGTCCACGCGTGGTACTCAAATCAAGCAACAACAAAAGAAAAGGAATTCGACCAATCAGAGTGCTGGGTTTATTCCTCAAATAGCAAGCAGGAGGATTGACAAATGCGTGCGGCCTATCGTTCAAAAGAGCCTGCAAATTGACAACAACACAAAATCCATGGGTGTACAGATCAAGGTGGAGCCGAGGAATCTGAGCACGTAGGCTGAGCTCATGACCGGGAAGCTGTGTGTAGCCAGTGTAAGGGAGGAGCCGGGGAGCTGGATGGAAGGATGATGGGGCTTTGAAAGACTTCCCATTGCTGGGCAACAGAAATCAAGATGCTGAGCAGAACCAGCAGAGACGAAAGACTGGGTGGTACCAGCAGAGATAAAAAAGCCATGAGGCTGGGCAAGACCAGTGGAGATGATGCAGGGGGGTGGTCCATTCTAGAGTGTAGATTCATGAGTGCTAGCTTCGTGACCACTGGATTTGGGAGCTCTGGGAACACAGAGGTCCCTTTTCCACCAGCAGGAAACCGGGTGCTAGTTCAGAGCTACTGCTATTGCCAATTCAGATTTGGTTCGACTGATGCTTTTCCACGAACTAGAGAGCCACCACAGAACTAGGTCTTAGACGTCTCATCTTTCCTAGCAACACTAGTGTGACAGCGCCAAACACACCAGGCTTGCTCAAGATGCATCGGCGCTGTGCAGACCGACCGGCACACGACACCAAAGCACCGCGAGAGCTATTGGAAAGCAGACGACTCTTTAAGCTTAAGAATTGCTCTCATGGTAGTTTGACGCCACACGCCAGCTAGTCCACACATCGCTGACACATCCCAAACAAGCCTAATGTCAACAATGGCTTTGCTAACCTACATCGTTGTCCAAACACCGCAAATCCAACATGTTTGTGTTTAGCTGCTATTTCATAAAAAGCCCGGTCAAAAGTTTCTCTTCGTCTTGTTGATCACGGTAACCCAGCCCCTGATGCATGCGGTTCTTACTTATAGACCAGCAATGTTTTGGTGCTACTTTATGAACCACTTTTCCTGGTACCAAGCTGGTGCTTTGGGTGTCGAAAGACAAAGAACCGATTTTAAACTAGGCTCTGGCTCCGAACCAGAGCTTGAACTGCCCTGGTGGAAAAGGGGCAAGAGACTACTAGACTGGGGTCAGTGGACTAAGGCCAAGGGGTTCTGGAAGGGCAGTAATGGACTGGAATCTCTGGGGAGACTGGATTGATAGAAGCAGGGTCCTCCTTTATGTCACCCACAATGAAAGACTGTACATTTATTTGGTGCTTGCCCACTGTTTTTTTTTTTTGTGAAACTTTGTGTGCTGTGACCAGATCTCCCTGGAAGAGATTATGAAATCTCAATTGATTAAATAAAGGATAAATGAAAAATCAACAATAACATTAATTGATTATTTTCATCATAGATTACACAAATTCAGTAATAATCTGAACTCATTTGGACAGTTGTGCAGTTTTGTCACAAAATGTAAAAAAATATTTTTGGCATAATATTGTGAGCTCTAATGATAATGTCCCTCATGGTCAGCATATACTAGGAGAAAAGCAGAGGACCTAATACTGAGCCCTGATGCACTCCATACTTGTGTAAACAAATAGACATTTCATCAAAGTATTACTAGTCGGATAGATTTAAGACCTAAACTGCGCTAGTGCTTATTGACAAATTGAAATAAAATTTTAAACATGAATGGCAGATTCAGGATTGGTCTATAACAGTGGTTTTTAATCCTAGTCCTGGGGACCCACCGCTCTGCACATTTTGTATGTTTCCCTTATCTGATACACTGAGTTCATGGAGCTCTCACCTAATGAGCTGGTGATCTGAATCAGGTGTCAAAATGGAGACATAAAATGAGCGGAGCGGTGGGTCCCTAAGACCAGGAGTGACTGGTCTATAATATCCCAGTTTTGTTGGAAAATGTTTTATCTTGGTTTTGGTGTCTGTTGCTTTAAGCCATTAAAGTGCTACTAATCTGTATTTGTCTTTTTTCACTTTAGAACTGATGGCGCTGAAAGAAGAGAGGCAAGAACTGACAACGATAGAAGAGAAAGATCAATATGAGAGACTTGACTTGATGACTGTGGAAACATCTATGCAGTCTGAAGCATCTTTATCACCAAACAAAGTTCAGAAGGCCGAATCTAACGGTCGCATCACCTGCCATCTATGTGGAAAGAGTTTAAAACAAAAATATAACCTTCAAATGCACATGATCATTCACACTGGAGAGAAGCCGTTCAAATGCCAAGTGTGTGGAAAGAGATTCCCACGTAAAGAAAACCTTAAACGCCACATGAATAGTCACACTGGAATGAAGCCTTTCATATGCCAACAGTGTGGAGCATGTTTAGCACATAAACAAAGCTTTGAATCCCACATGAAACGTCACACTGGAGAGAAGCCATTCACGTGTGATCAGTGTGGAATGAGTTTCATACATAAAGTATCCTTTGATTACCACACGAAGAAAGAATACTCAGGACAGAACGGTTTTACATGTAATCGGTGTGGAGAGAGTTTCAGTTGTAAAGGAAACCTCAAAAATCATACGAGACTTCACACTGGAGAGAATCCTTTTACCTGCAATGTGTGTGGGAATAGCTTCACATATAAAGCACACTTTGATACCCACATGAGAATTCACACTGGAGAGAGGCCTTTTACCTGCAAACTGTGTGGGAAGAGCTTCTCCCGCAACGGATCTCTTAAGATTCACATGGTCGTTCACTCTGGAGAGAAGCCATTTCCATGTGATCAGTGTGGAAAGTGTTTCAGACATAAAACAACCCTTGATTCACACATGAAAAGTCACACTGGAGAGAGTCCTCACATCTGCAGATTTTGTGGGAAGAGCTTCTCAAGTAAATCAACCCTTAATGCCCACACGAGAAATCACACAGGAGAGAAACCCTTCAACTGCAAACTTTGTGAGAAGAGCTTCACACAAAACGGAAATCTTAAGATTCACATGGCAACTCACACAGGAGAGAAGCCTTTTGTGTGTGCTCAGTGTGGAAAGTGTTATGCACGTGAAACAAACCTTACTTACCACATGAGGATTCACTCAAAAGAGTATAATTGTCATCAGTGTGGACAGAGATTCCCAGACAAGAGACGCCTTAGCTGGCATGAAAAAATTCATTCTCGAAAATCTTTCAAGTGCCATGACTGTGGAAAGAGTTTCAGATTTAAAGGAAAATTTACGGTTCACATGAGAACCCACACTGGAGAGAAACCCTTCACCTGCACTCACTGTGGAAAGAGTTTCAGTCAGAAAGTAACCCTTCAGGTTCACATGAGGCTTCACACTGGAGAGAAACCTTTCACGTGTCTTCAGTGTAAGAAGAGCTTCACATATAAAAGAGACCTGAAACGTCATTTGCAAACACATTCTGGAAAGAAACAGCAGTGCTCTGCGAGTAGAAAGAGGCTTAGAAAAAGGAGCAGTTTGAAAAATCAAAAGCACGATCGCTCCGGAGGAAGGCAGTTTAATTGTGATCAGTGTAAGAAAACATTTCTTTTGCCATCACACTTACAGATACACCTGAAAAGTCATGCAGATGTGAAACCACATTTGTGTTCTTCGTGTGGAAAGTGTTTTAAATGGCTCAGTAGTTTAAAATGGCACCAGAAAATGCGTATCTGTGTGAAATTGAAGCTACGTTCTCACCGCAGCCGAAAGTGACCCAAATCTGATCATCCACCTTCATGACAATTTGCATTCTTCTCCTCTAGATAGACTCTTCTACATTTTAACCGCTGTATATGTGACCATCTGCTTTGCTATAATTCAGTATAATTCAATTTTGGTTTGTCGCAAGACACACCATTGTGAATATGAAATTCATCTTTGAAACTTTTTACATTCACAAATGTAAAAAATAAACGTCATTATTACAAGTGTCATTATTGTTAGATTAGTTAATTGTAAAGTTCATTAGTGATGAAATTCAATTATAAAGGCAGAAAATAATGTCATTATCCAGCTCAATCTTTCGTTCTTATCTGAGGGCCTGTTTACACCTGGTCACTTCATGCATTTTCTCTGTTTGGATATCTTATCTGATTTTTTAAAACTGTTCCATTTACACTTGGCCATAAATGTGTCGTCGCAAAATGGATATATCCGATCTTCCGTACTACCGTATTGACCCGAATATAAGACGATGTCAATATGAAAATAATTGAAGACAAAATGTGTTTTACTGAGAAAAAACAAGATTTGGATTTTAAAAAGCCTTTTTCCAAAAGGTACATCTGGAAAAAGGGGGGTCGTCTTATAATCAGGGTCGTCTTATATTCGGGCCAATACGGTATATGCAAATTTAACAGATTTCACGACAATGAAAGCAACCGATATGCGCTGCATTTATTCATCATCAGCTAATTTCAAGATCAAAAAACTGCAATAGGAGAGAGCATGGCAACAGCACTAGTAAGATCGTTAAGTCTCGCTACTTTTAATGAAGATGATTGTGTGTTAAGCATCTGCAACATTCTTTCAGTCTCATTTGTGGCAGTTTTCGCGTCGGCTTGCTGAAGAGATACTCAGCTACTCATCCGTGATGATGCATGTTTCATTAGTGCGGTCATATCTTACTATAACATATCATAGCCTAAAAATGCTTTTTATTACTTTAACATGTTGGGAGGAGTAAAATTTACATACGTTTTTAACAACCAGATGCATTTACACTTGTCCAGTTTTGTCTGGAATGCGGTCCAGACCACCTCCTGAAGTGGTTCGAGCGATCGGATTTAAATCGGTCTCAAAAGCATTTCGGAGTGCATTTACACCTGGTCTTTTCTATCCGATCAGAGAAAACGTATGAGGTGGCCAGGTGTAAACAGGCCCTGACAGTGTCAGTGCAGCCTAATTGATAATTTCTGAATATTACTTGCTTTTTGAAGCCCAGCTGAGCAGGCCAAAGGTGACAATGGCAGGGAACAGAAACTAAGGTGATAGCAGTGTAAGAAAAACCTTGAGAAAAACCAGACTTAGTTGGGGGATCAGTTCTGCTCTGGCCTCAATGAACAAACACTGCAATTTAAGATTGAAAGCTGCATCACAAAAAGTTGTTCCGCAAGCCATTTCTATTGATTGACAGTGATAACTGTAGCAATGAACGGAACAAAATATCTGACACGCCAATGTCAAAATAGACCTGTGTATTAAGCGATTCAAAGTAAATTCAGAGTAACAGAGCTACAGTAGCAACATGTCTTGTGTTGACTAAATATATTTAGAAGCTTCTACAGTTGCAGGTAAAACTTAAAAATTGTATTTTTTAAACTAAAGGCAGGGTAGGTGATTTGGTTCAAAAACATTTGTTGTTATGCTGGTTCAAAGTCTCTCACATCCTGATAGCAATCACTAAGTTTTAGTGGTCTAAATTGATTTGTATATATATCATCTGTGGAAGGCATAGGACCACAAAATGTTCGTCCAATCAAAATGTTCGAAATGATACATCAGCATGTTCCAGCGAGAAAATAAAGGTGTTATTATTGTAATATTATGCGCTTTGTAACATAACTTGTTTAATCTCATATTCACAATAAAATATAAGTTTGAATTTGTTGTTGACTGCGTCTTACAAGCTGTTGTTGAAAGTAAAAATAACTAACTTGTTTACATCCCTGTTTCAGTCTCTGTCAATATAATTGTCGTTACTGCTGACTCGCTCAAAAAACAATCTCTTGTTGCCAACTTATGTCGAAGCAATGTAACTAAAATCACAATCACTAACAGACCATTTCTCAATAGTAAATACTAGAATTAAATTCTACTATTATTTATATAAAGTAGGGATGCACCGAAATGAAAATTCTTGGCCGAAGCCGAACAAAGTGAAACACTGGGCCGAATACCGAACACGGGTTTTTGCATTTTTCCTCCATGTAGGCCTATTTTGCCTTTTTTTTTTTTCACTATTGCATAAATTAAATGGCCAAAATGTGCTTTTTACTGTTTTGTCCTGCTTTTAAAATAAAAAATCAATTACAAAACAACAATTTAAATTTTTTTACTTAACACTGAACATTTTTTAACATTTTCGCACGTATCACATTGTCACATGCCTTTAAAAAAATTAACAAAAATGTTACTGAGCAACGGACGAGTAACACCGTTTCAGCGCAGATTTTCCTTGCGCTTTGGACTTTGAAGCATGCCGCCGCGAGCTCGTGCAGCGCTCTCAGAATACATGCAATTCGTGCGTGCATTAGAAAATATAACATTCTGCAGTTTATTTACTAATCGTTTGAGGCCATTTTGCGATTTCAGTCATCATACAGTAGCCTAATCACCAGCATCAGCCACCTCTTCATCTCATCGGAGACATGTGAAGCAGCACTAAACAGTCTCTCGCTGTCGGTGCTTCGTGCTTGTAACGATTTCTGCGCCTTTCTCTGATAGTTTTCAATACTTTCACACTGCCGACATGTTTGCTGCATTAGCGCGTGCCTCTATTTGATCGCATTAGTCATTGTTCGGTACCTATTCTGCCTTTTCGCTTATTCGGCCGAACACCAACATTTTTTTTTTTTTGCTATTTTCGCCCAAATAATTTCGGTTGCCGAACATTCGGTGCATCCCTAATATAAAGTATTATTTCTATTTTTATTTTATACAACAGCCATCATAAAAGTTGACAGCAGTGAGTAGTGAACATGCACACACACCGTGAAAACACACCCGGAGCAGTGGGCAGCCATTTTTGCTGCGGCACCTGGGGAGCAGTTGGGGATTCGGTGTCTTGCTCAAGGGTCTCGTTGAGGATGGAAGAGAGTGCTGTTCATTCACTCCCCTCATGCAGAGAAAATCTAATCTAAGTTACTACTTTGATTCGATTTAAAACTGCAGCCTGTAAGTTTTGCCTCTGTCGCCATCTCTGTTTGAAACCTGCAACTGCAGTTATTTGCAGAATTATCATCTTTATGTGGGTTGTGCATCGGCACGGCTCCTCAGCGTGGATGAATCTAATGTTTTGATGTGTGGCTGTTAGTCACCGCACCGGTGTGGATATTCACTGTACTTTGGAATCACAGATTCTACGTCTTGGAAGAATTTTACTTAAATAACAATTTTCACCAGAAAAGGTAATCTGAATGTGAAAATATCGCAAGTAATATGTCTGCCACTTTTGTTCTAACCAACTGAGAAAAGAAAAGCATTACAATACATCGCTCTACCAATGGTGATTAAATCTAATGATCACTTAGCTCATATCACATCAAACCATGTAAATTATTATTGTCTTTGTACTTTGTTACCATTGAAATGTCTTACTTATCCAGCAGAAAAAAGCCATCTGCATCCATTTTAAACCCCTTCAAAACAGAGTTCACGCCACATTTCAAAAGTCCTGCTGGCATTTATTCTTCTTTTCGCAAGGGCCTGGTTGCATTCTCGTTTTTTCTGTAGCCACTCCAAAGTCTGAAGTCTTTTCCTTTTGATTACAGGTGAATCTCCAGTTATCACTAATGATTGTTGTTTGAACCTTTTTGGATTACAATCCGCCATCAAAATAAGTCTAATTATTCTAGCTGCTTTGAGAAAAGGCTATTAACCTTTGTCCATGACTGTAATCCTGTAAATACTATGTTGTCAATAAATACTGCTACTACCTTACTGCAACAAAATTATTACAATAGCCATTAGAAGTTTAAAAAATATATACATAAAGGAATTTTCACAATGGGATGTATTGGTTATAAGTTGTTGCACATCTGAGAGCTGAGAGTCTGGAAGGCCTTCGTTTTAAGGTCCCGGTGTTTATATAGCTTTGCCTTTGGGTTCCACAAGTAGTCGTTCTCTGAATATGTACATAAACAGATGATACAAGACGATGTTAGACAAACACTGTTCCACTGTTAACAAGACAAGTCAGCTAGCTAGCTGTAAGCAAAATCAACTCAAGTTAGCTAAATACCATAACAAGTATATGGAGCGGTGGTTAAAAATATTTGATGTCTAAATTACAGCCTGGGCACATTAAAGGTGCAGTAAGCGATTTTCTAGAATTGTTGCTGAACACTCGATATTTCAAATCAACCCAAACAAACTCATGTACATGTTACCATCTGGTCCCAGCAGCCCGCTCCGAGCCCCGATGAGTGAGGTTTACCCGCACAGCTTACACAACCAGTGCAAGAGTGGATGTCTGTTTGTCATAGCAGAAGCGAAGCAAAATAATGATTCACGAAAAATAAAGCTAATATAATGAACGAACGACAAGGAAGCACAAAAAATAAACACACAGTAACGCTAGACCTACACAAGAGTATACAAGCAAGAGTTTTAAGTGTTTTAACATTACAACGTCGGCGCCGATAGCCTTGTGGGCAGCGCGCCGACATACAGCGCCCGTCACGAATCCGGTCTATAAACTTCCAGTCACTCACCACCAGAGGTCACCCGCTCTCCACATGGACTCTCACACTACACAGACTGTTACACATAACCCTGGACTATATTTCCCATTCTCCATTGCACTAATCACAAGCTCACCTGAAACCAATCACACACAGCTGCTACCAATAACACACACTATATAAATCAGTCTCATGCCACCATTCAACGCTGAGTATTTCCCTGTCTTAGTTTCTAGTTCCTAGTCTTAGTCTAGTCTCGTTGTGTTTCCTGATTTCCGATTCTTGCCCGCGTATCTTAGATTTACCTTTTGCCTTGCCGTTTCGGACTGTGTTTGCCCCTCGCCTGGACTATTGCTCTCGTTTACGGATTACCTCTCTTGTCAAGCCCTCTGCATAATGTTCGCGGTTGTCTGACTCAAGCCCGTTTTGGATTGCTCTTTTGTCTTGCCTGTGCCATAACTGTTTTCTGTGGTTTGACCCTGCCTGTGTTTTTTGACCATGTTTATTAATAAAAGCTTGCATATGGATCCGCACACCTCTCGTCTCGTCGGCTCCGTTGCGCTATGGGCGTCCCGTGTTCGATTCCTGACTCCAGGACCTTTCCCGATCCCGCCCCCTTCTCTCTCTCCCACTTCGCTTCCTGTCAATTCTGATCTGTCC